CCGCGTACTCTTACCCGCCCTTACCCTATATGACGTTTAAGTAAGCAAATAATATTAATTTGTTTGAAAAAAACAATGTCATTTAAATATTTAAAAATATTTATTTGTAATGCTTAAAATGAAACATTTTTGTGAGAAATTGTCTCGATTTTGACCATTAAAACGGGTATTGTATTTTTTGACGTCATCAAATAGCTCCAAAAAAGAAATGTAATGTTTTCATTCCGTTCAAGGCCGCTGAAGAAACGCGGGATCTTGCGTTTGACATTGTCCGTTGTTTGCCGCGTAGAGTTGTGCCGTGGTTGTGCCTTTTTCATCCGTTTCTTACGTATGGCATATGTGTGCATGAAGCTTTGATTTTGTTTTTGGTTATTGTGTGGCCGGTGAGTCAAACGCCCCTGTAGAAACCGGATGCTGCCTTTGATCGAGATGGAGTCAGACGATGATTGCAGAAAGCTAATAATATTGAAAAGATGGCCGGTTGCGTGGCATGTCTGTTCAGAGTTGACATTTTGCTTTACTCCAGTTTATGACCTGAGAGCCTGGCTGGAAGTGACGGATCCAAACTTTTCACGTTAAAATGGCTGAGGGTGCAATAACTCTTAGTCTCTACATAGCGGGCTGGTATAGGAGCGTCTTGCTACGCTGCACCATAGCTGGCTAGTGATTCTCTTTTGGCTAGAAATGGCATTAATCATTATCTCCACTGGCGAAAGTGGCACTTGACATCACCGAATGCAACGTTCATGTTGTTAGGATACATAAAATCAGGAAGATTACGCGAATTAGGTAGGCAAACGTGGAATAAAATAGGTGCTGGATGTTTTGGTTTTGGTGCTGAATCAGCAAACAGCAAATACGGAGTTCAACTAGACGATCTGGCAACTTTAGGCTGTGTGGAAGCAATTAGGTGCCAGATTCAGATATTAGGGTTGAATAAGCATTTTGGGGCTGATCAGCAATTAGGTGCCAGAAACAGCTTTTTAGGGACCAGAAACAAATATTCCCCCCTCAGAACCAGGCGGCTTGAAGTTTCCTCGCGGCGGCTCCGCGGCTCCTCCTCCGCCGTCGCCGCCGCCGCCGCCGCCGCCGTCGAGCCGCGGCCGAGCGGCCGAGCGGTTCACATACCAGTGGTCGCCGCGCCATGCATCAATTAAATTAAGGGGTTCAATGGAACAACAATAGTGGTGATTAGGCACGGCCCCAATGAAAGGGGCCGCCGCGCGGCCGGGGGCCGTAGCTCGTGCGTCTGGTCATTATCGTGGCCGGTTCGGATGATAGAGATGTCGGGGCGGCACTCTGAAGTGGCGTTGGAGTCTCGCCGGGGGCTGGAGGACCTGCTGAGCCTGTCCGGCCACTCCTGACACGGGAGGAGACTCCCCCTCCTCCCATCCTACCCTCCTACCCTCCTCCCCGTCTGTTCAGTCCGCCCAGTCCACCCGCCGTCTGGGACTCCGCAGGCCCGGCGAGACGGTAAGGGTTGGGACGGTTACGGGTAACACGGTAGGACGTAGGGGAATCCGGAAGGGGTAGGAAGGGTCGGGACAGCTCATGTGGGGGGGGGGGGGTATCTGGGTCACGAGTGTGTACGCGAGTGTTGTTTTTGGTGCGTCGAAAAGGTCGGAACGGCTTCTAATTGAATTTTGTGGCTTAGATGGGATAATTTGTGGTTATGAAATCGATTAACGTCTTTAATTTTCATTCCACTGCAGGCAGAAAAATGGTCTATTATATTTTCCTTTTCTGACGTATCAGCTGCACTTAAAGCTGCAGCTCTCCGCTCGTAATTCCAAACAAAGCACCGCGTACATTTTTTCCTTTTTATTATTCTTATGGAAAACGCTGGAGTTATTCTTAGCTTCTATATACATATAACCATAAACCACGATACTGGATTACCGCGACTTTAAATATCACGTTCTCCGTAGCCCATCTGTTCAGTCCTAGGTTCTCTGAAAATTCCCGAGCACGTCAGAATCTTCTCCCCCTCTTTCTGCCATGGCTGAGAACGTCTTCGTTTAGACGGGGGAGCGTCTTTATATAGACGAGCGTAACGTCTTCATTTAGTCGGGCGAAACGTCTTTATTTAGCAGGACGTAACGTCTTCATTTAGAGGCGGTATGTGGGCGCTGCACCGCGTTCGCTACGGCGCCCGCGGCGGCGGCTGCGGCACTGCGGCAGCGGCTCACAGCATGAAGGTAAATGCCAAGCTGAGCGGCGGCTTCGCGGGCGGGGGCGGTTTTGCGGGCGGCGGCGTCCCGCCGTCCAGTCGTCCACACGGCCCCTGCGCACCCTTGCTTGGCCACCACAACTTCTGAACACCCGGCCGGCCGCCGCAAACTCTAGCCTGCCGGCTGTCCACCGCAGGCCGCGGGCTGTCGGCTGCGAGCAGCCGCTCTAATTGGTAGGGCCGAGCGCCGGTAATTTGTAAACATTTGTCATCCGACCACAAACTGGTGTTGGGAGGAGTCCGCCTGGAGGTGGACGAGAGGACGATGAGGGGTCGGGGGGAGACGGGGCGTGCAGAAGACGAGATGAGGAAGGTACCGCTAAAAATGAGAGGTGAAATGAATACGATAAGGTTAACATACTGTTTATTGTTTGCTAGCTAATTGATGTTTTGATTGTTCTATGCCTATTGCCTAATTTACACAGGTCAAAAATCTTTCACATATGACGTCTATAGAAGCTGATTTCATGGTGAAGTGAAAATTGTTTTACAATTGCCAATACATATTTCGAGCCTCGCAGCATACGGTAGTCATTCAATTTCTGCGTCATGACCACAAATACAGGTGAGTCACCGACAGACTCATACGGCATCCCTGGCCACATCATTTGGCAGCCTTCAGCCGGCGACCACTCGTGGTACCCGGTCTCCGAAACGACCCCATAACCATTCAGCAACAGCCCCCCGCCACCTGGCTTCCCCGGCACAAATACCAATGAAGACGCGTAAAAGTCAGCCGGTGAGATTTATCATTGGAAACTAATTGAATTAATGTTTTAATTTGGTGCGGCTCCGCGCGGACGTCGAAGCACCTCATGCCCTAACCTCGTCCGTCGCCTCAGGGCGAACGAAGCGACTGTCATGGCCGCTGCAGACATGAAAGAGCGGCCCGCGGCAGTAGTCGCCGGTTTTACTGCGGACAAATTAATTCTGATTCAATGAGGCTGTACGGAGTGACATGAGATGGTCTGGAATGAAGATGTCTGTGAGGAGGGAATGGGAGGGTCTGTGGCTGGATGCCGCAATATGAGTGACGTAAGACGTTGGAAAGGTATTACGGAAGTTTGTTTCTAAAAGCAGCCTTGCAATTCTTACGAGTAAATTTAGTTTTATATCCAACCTTAGCTTGATATCCTTATCACTTTTAGCCGCCCACTAAACCTACGTGTCATAGACACCTAAAATGGCCGCTGCCCCTAGCTGTCCCCTCCACTCCCCCTCCCCTTCTCCCCTCCCCTCCCTCACGACAGACATTGATCCGCGGAAGTGGGCAGCTATTTGGCACGGGCCGGGAACACGAAAGGTGGAGTGAGTTGGAGCTCCCCACCCCAAACACACCCACACTCACAGACACACATTCACACCAGCAGGCGCACGCGATTCAGGGTAGATAGTTCACGCGTTGATGTGCCGTCCTGAAGCGGAAGGGGTCTGATTGTCCAGATAAAGTCCTTGCTTTATGGGGAAACATTTTAATGGCATTGGTAGGGTCTTGGTCGTGACTCGTGATATCCTTACGGCTTGTGAAGGGTCCTGACTGAGTGTAGAGGATCCTTGTTTTGTGGGAAGGACTTGACTGCCTGAAAAGGACCATGGCGGGGAGAGGATAATGATCGCGTAGAAATGGTCTTGTCTGCGAGAACGGGTTGTCTTACATCAGTCCTGAGTCCTGACTGCGAGGGCTGAGGTCACTTAGGGATGGGATCTTTGATTAAAAAGGGACTGAGATGTGAGAATAGTGGGGAAGGGTGCCGGGCCGGGTAGGAGGCTGTGCGCCGGCGCATTGCTTCGGGCCGCTGGCTGATCGTTACCATACCAACCACGTTTCCATCGAAACTTCCCATTCAACGCCGACGTGATTGACACGTACTTGCTCATTCATTGAACGGCGTATTATGATGGGCTCTTTTGGGTGAAGTAAATTAAAGTCCCGGCGAATTAATAACGGGAGATAATGGAAATTAAAATTAGACGTCTGAATTAGTTACCTGATAGGCCAAAACAATCATTATGCAGAGAGATGGAGTGGTTTCAGGGGAGCATCATTCTTGAAGTTTCTGAAAGAACACGACGATAAAATCAACACCACCCGGATTTTCCTAGATTAGCGGACGCCGCCAGAAGGACGCCAAACCGAAATATCACACCAGTCAGTGCGTCTAATTCTACGTTAAGCAGCACCGCTGGTTCCATGTTAAGCAGCGCTGCTGGTCGTAAAGCAAACAGCTGAAGATGTCCTAAGTTTGCATCGACGCATGGTAACAGTGACTGACGTTCTACAATCGCGGAAGTCAGACCTATTTCCCCATTCGTGTTCTAAGTGTGTGCGATACGGCGTCTTTCTTCGACCGTTTACCGGGAGTACCTTATCCGATACAAGTAACGCATGTTTTTCTTTGGTGTTTGCTGCATTGTCCCGTCCGACACTTTCCCATTCTATAGTCGACAAAAGTATCTCGGCCTGACGCTCTACCAATGTGAAATCACTATGTTCGCCTCTACGATTGTGCTCCGATTCGAATCCTATGCTGTCTCTCGTCAGATGTTACCACAAGATCTCAAACCACGTCCCCTTGTCCTCGTTCACGTTCATGTCGTACCGTCAGGTCCTCCCTCCAGATCCCAACGCCTTGCACGGTGCGACTATGTCCGCCACCAGCCGCCAAGTCCCACTTTTGATGTCCGTCACCCAGGACAATCGCGAAGCGAGCTAAGAGCTTACATGGCGTCCGATGGCCAAACTACTCAGGCGTATGACCAAAGACCACGATTCTTCTTCGTCTTTGTATATTTCGACCGACACGCGAACATAGCGCCGTAGAGCACATCAGCCCACCGAGCACAATCTACAACAACACTACTGACCACTCTATCGCGAACCAGACGTGTTAAATCCCCTCCACATATCAATAGTATACTGGGCCCTTGTTGGGACTACCGTGTTAAATAAGGTAAAGCTATGTGCGCCACGAAACACCGTTCATGGGTTAACTATCACTTCTCGACACTCTCACACAGATTTTCACACAGTTATTCGTGCAAAATTGGAACACGTTGAGGACGTAGCACACGCATATACGGACGTGAGGTGAAGTGATATGTTGGAAATCAACCAGCTGAAGGACAGTGTTAGGAACACGGCATAGACCAACGTTCATGGACATGTTTGTAACAAAAATATACTCTACGTCGGAGTTCGGAGACGGTGGCTTACGAGCCATGTATAAGGAACTGACTTGGTGCCTTGCTGGCAGGTTTACACATGTCACATACTGACGGCACGGACTTGTTAACCACTCACTTAAACAAAGCAGATAGGACTCGCGACAGTTACATTGGCATCTCTCAAGAAAGCAACAACACAACAACAACGAATGGACACCTGCTTAGCTTTCGTTCATGGGCATCTCATTGCTGGCACTCAGGCTTCTTACTCTCAGCAGTCCTGGAGGGATCCCCACTCCGGAAGCAGGCGCTGTGGCATGTACACCAGCTGGTTCTTGAAGAACTTCAGCTGGGGCGGAGGCCTTTGGGTTCGTTTCAACCTGAGGCTCAGACTGGGTCAGCATTAGCTGAGGTGCGCGTTCTTCTTGTTGACCACACTGGATCAGCGTTGCCTGGGGCATGCTGTCTGACTGTGGCCCGCAGTCTGGCTTCGGCATGCAGTCTGGCTGAGCCGAGCAGTCTTGCTGAGGACCTGTTGGAGGTCCGCTCACCGGCCTTTGGCGAGGTTCCGGTCGGCTCTCGCCTAGCAGACTTTCGATGCTGAACAGCGACAACGACGCCTTCTTGGTCGTGTTACCAACATTACTAACCGGTGGCTGGCTATCGTCTGATGGCGGCTCGACGGGTTCTCCGGTAGACACCACGTCAATCTCTGGCTCATCGCGTCGCTGACGGCCTTCCCACTCAGCTCGAAGTGTGGCGAGTTCAACGTGGATGCCCTTCTGGGCCAGCTTCCGCTGCTGACGCTCCAGCTGCTTCACCAGCTTACGCTCCCTCTTGTCGGCCTCCTTTCGCTCCAGCTCCTCCTGCGAATATGAGAACGCTGAGAGTTAGTATCGAACTTCACTTGAAAAAGTCACTCACCAAATGGCTCATCTTCTTGTCGGAGGTAAGCAATCATTGTAGTAGGCAAAAGTGTCCACTGATATAAATCTTTAAGACACAAAGCATTTGCATTCCCGTACGACGATCGTTGACACGTAATCGTTTGCCTCAATATTTCTCACTCCATTCCCTATCGAACACGCTAGCGGTTGGGGTCGTTCTTTATCCTCACCGGTGATATGGGGTCACCACTGCAGGTCTGCGGGTGAGCGTTGTGTGCCGGCCTCCCCGGCCCCTTCTTCGTGTGCTCCTTCTTACGCCATTTCGCCCGCCGGTTCTGGAACCAAACCTGTGGAGGAACCCAACAGTCAGACACAAAAACTAGGGCTGAAGCCAGCCGAAAATGGCCGCACCAATTACAGCGATCGTGCGGTGATAGTGGCGCAAAGGAGAGTGAAAACTGCGCCGGGATTGTCGGAAATCTTATCTTTTAATTGTGTTGGCTAGTGGAGTGGTGGTGGTAGGCTAAGACCGCCATTAGATTCGCCATTGCGGCGGTAAGCTGAGATCACCATTAGACGAGGATAATGGCGACACGCACAGTGGGAAGAGGGTGGAAAGTGGCGATTCTGCGCGAAACACTCATTACAGGCCGTTAACTGGGCTCAAGTCCCGCATTGAATTGCTTAGAAGAAAGCTGTTATGCATTTCACCTATCTATTCAAAAGAAAAAAAGGTGATGAAAGGAAATAAATTTATATTGGTAAGTCTGCGGTTGATGCAGATTGCGCGCTGATTACAATTCACTGTTAAGCTACAACGTCCGTTAAAATTATATATTGTTTTGATGTCCAAGCAAGACAATAACCTCAAAATGTGTATTTTTTCCAAAGGAGTATTTTTATTTAGTAGTAATCGCCACGCACTTTCAGAATGTGGATCGCTCATGATTGTTCAATACAATACAAGGAGCGTTTAGCTCAACGCTACTTCGCTGCTGGGAGAAGCCAGCAGCGAGGAGTGAAGACCCGTCGTCATTCCTTAGAACACCCCCTCCAAGCACACTCACCGCCACTCTGCTCTCGGTGAGACCCAGTCGCATCGCCAGCGCCTCCCTCATGAACACGTCGGGGTAGTGTCCGGACTGGAAGGCCCTCTCCAGTTCCTCCAGCTGCCAGCTGTTGAAGTTGGTCCTCGAGCGACGTCGCTTGGCGGCGGCGTCCTCACCGTCTTCAAACTCTGTTGGTGAAAGGAGGAGAAGATCGCAAGTTAGGTCAATCTAGAATGGTGGGCAAGCGAGGGGGGTCGACGTAGAGTGCAGTGGTAAACTGAGGAAGGAAGGTCAACAAAGCATGGTGGCTATTGAAAGATCAATGAATGCAGTGTCGTTTAGCCAAGGGGCCAATATAAAAGAATCAGGAGAAGAGGGTGGTAAAAAGCTCCTCTTTTTTAATCTAAAACAGAGTTTTGGGAAGCCGAGAGAGGAGGCATAGAGACAAACATTTCGCGAGTGAGTGTCCAACTTGGTCAAATGCAAGCTGGTAGGCTGGTTGGTCATTATCCAGGTTGAAACGATGAGGATGGTCGCCACATTTGCACGTCGGTACAGCACTGAGCGCAACCACAGCGAATAATTTTGCCCTGTCGGTCAACATCTCTACTTGCTGCATTCTAGCAATAGACCGAATTTTCGTATCCAGATAAAGGTGTTGTTAGCCAATGTCCACATCTCATATTGAAATACTAAAGTAACGGAGGCTTGGTCTCCCCCCCCCCCCCATGTCATCCCGGAAAGTGTTTCAAATGTGTGCAACATTTCCTATCGCCCCGACGGACCCCCTCGAACGCCAGCCAGCGTCTTACAAGGTTCCGTTCTCGGTCCTCTCAGAAAAGCCCCGCTCGCTCGCCACGGCATTTAACCCACCCAAGGCGCGACCGGGGCGTTTACTACGGCGCGTTATCGCGGCAAACACTGCGCAGTGGCGTGTCGGAACGCCGCTTTTGCCTCCTTGTAGCCAATCAATGCGCACTGTCGGGCCGACAAATTGAAACCGATACGATCCCGGCGCATGCAACGTGCCGCCATTGGAGCAACGGCCTAGGGCCGCTGCGAGCCGGCTGGCTAAAATGATTACGGCCGTATTTCATAGCTGGGCGCGCTAATAGCCGCTGTTAGCCGGGTAGCGTCGGCCCGTGGCCGGCGGCGTACTCGGCGCAGCAATGGCCGGCGCGGCCGACGCGGCGCGACCCGCCAATCACGTGCCGTCGTGGCGAACGTGGTGCGCTGGGGTAGACGTGGTGAGTTTGGACGGTGGTAGGTGAAGAGGGTGTGGCAGGACGACTGCGTGCAACGAGAGTGCACGTAAGGACTAAGGACACTTACTTATCCGTAGTTGTTAGCTCTCTCAGCGCTTTGGGGTCTGAAAACGTCAGAAAACTAATGCTGAACTTATCTAGATTGAGAGCTTGGCTAGAGACTGAACTGGAGTAGAGCTAGCTACACTAAGCTAAAGCAGTGTTGTTATGAACTAGAATCGAGTGCGCTGTGCCCACAGACGATTATACATAGAACAGTCTAGTCAGGAAATAGCTAAGTTTCCTCCTAAACTAACCATCCGGTCTATGAAGATTGCTGGGCGAGGCACATGGCCTTGTCCCTCCCTGGTCGTTTGCCGAGCAATGTGCGAGTTCCGGTAATCGTTTAGCAGGCTCAGGCTGTGGGTGCAACACTTGCAGCCAACCTACGAAAACACACGGTTGCCCCCTCTCTCTCTCTCTCTCTCTTTCTCTCCTCTTTCTCTCCTCTTTCTCTCCTCTTTCTCTCTCTCTCTCTCTCTCTCTCTCTCTCTCTCTCTCTCTCTCTCTCTCTCTCTCTCTCTCTCTCTCTCTCTTACTCACTCACTCACTCACTCACTCACTCACTCACTCACTCACTCACTCACTCACTCACTCTCTCACTCTCTCACTCTCACTCTCTCTCTCTCTCTCTCTCTCTCTCTCTCTCTCTCTCTCTCTTACTCACTCACTCACTCACTCACTCACTCACTCACTCACTCACTCACTCACTCACTCACTCACTCACTCACTCACTCACTCACTCACTCACTCACTCACTCACTCACTCTCACTCTCTCTCTCTCTCTCTCTTTCTTTCTTTCTCCTTTCCTCCTCCCTCTCCTTTTCATGCTCTTTCTAGCATACGCCGCCAAACTGCATGGCACACCTATCGTGATATGAGCACATCATTCTGGGTTCTAGAAGGCCATTTAACCCGCTCCAATACCTACGTTTCCAGTTATTAATTCTGACAAATGGTCATGTGAAGGCTTCAGTGAGCATTACTACATGGACAGCGAGGCGTTTTATAACACTCATGATGATTACATGCTCATTGATGAGTTTGCGGTAAATATGATTGAATTGACGGACAGTCGAATTGAATTATATTGGACGATGACGGGAGTAAAATAAATTAAATGACGGATGGGCGTGCAAGGATTTCTTCAATTGAAAATATACGTGTCTCTCGGCAGTGTTCCCTGTCGATATTGCCTTTGGGCCTACATAGAGCAAATTAACTATAACATGACTGATATTGAGAGATCTACAAAATCTCAAAGCGAGAGATATGGTCAAAGCTGAGAGAGAAATGTTAGCTTCCCCAAACTAAAGCGGTGTATCAAAGAAGCCTTTATTTTACCTTTCTATGTGGTGAAAGCTGTAAAGCGGCACGACTTACCAACATGAATGTGAATGCCTGCATCGACGGTTATTGCCGCATGACAGGCGGCAAATAGATGCAAAAAAGCGATGATGTGTCCAAATTGAATTACACAATTCGCGAGTTGAGCGCATGAAGCGAGAAGTTATAATTTCCCTAAGTCTTTACACTTACATGCCTGTTCGATTCCATCGCTTTCCCTGCAATCCAATCCCAAATCATTTGGAACATCTCGGCAGGTCTGACGTTTGAATTAAAATCCAAGTATAAATTTATACATCTGGAGCCAAAATAATTTTGATATAATTATATATTTGATTCGCTAATTTGACAATGTGCATATTAGCCACAGTATGTCGGAACTTGCGGTCAGTATTGTAGCTGGTAGTTTTGACCACACCACTAGTTCACATCCTCACAAACCAATTAAGCCCATCCTTCCATCGCCCTAAATTCCGGAAACCTGCCTCCAAATATGCAGAATGAAGCGTACAGGTCTCGCGGGTTTTAAGGGTAGGTTTTGCCTTTCCGGCTATATCTTTTTCGTCTTCAGCTTTGTAGGCTTAAAGATGTGACCGAGTTATTCGTATAGCTCCCTACCATGATCATGGAAAAAGGTTTGATCGTATGCCGGCTAGTTTCGGAGAAATTTAAAGAAAACCTCAAAATCTGCCGTTTGGGGCATTCTGACCGCGGCTTCCCTGCAGTCGCCTATGACTACAGTGGTGCCACCCAACGGGTAGGACGCTGAAACACAGACGCATGAATGAATCCAGCGCGTGGTGAACGGTGGATAGAGACGGGACTCGGCAGAGGCTATCACTGCGGCCCGCCGCGCAAGGCGTCCTTGGACAGCGACCGAGCCCTCGGGCGGTGGGGTCAGAGGTCACGAGAGCCCGGCGCTATTCGGCGCACATGAAGGGGAGGCGCTCGCCTCAGCCTTGTAACTCAGCCGGTGTGGTGGTAGTGGTGGTGGGGTGGGGGGGGGGGGGGTGGGGGGGACGGCAGGCGGGAGGGGCTAGAACTAACGGGGTGGTGGTTTAGGTATAAAATAGATTGGAAATGTCGTGCCATGGTCAACTTAAATTATTTTTTACTTAATAAACATTTATTAACATTACGAAAGAATCCACCATTTTTTATTGATAAATATAAAAGAAATGCTATTTTTCGATGATACCGTTTACTTTTACCTAATGGAATTCAAACCCTACCTTTTACTAGGGGTGATAAAATAAACCCCTCTCCTCAGTTTTTCCTGAATAACTGGCGTAGGAAGTGGCGGATAGCTGCGAAGCTTTCAGTGCCGTAAGTTATTTTTTTTTCACCTTAAGTAATTTAATATCCATGCGGTCAGGGGTCAGGATAAGTTCAGGCCATCCGCAATTTGATATTTTACACCTCCCTGAAAATTTAATGACCCTGACCAAAATGGCCATTGGTCTGTGACTACTTTTTAGAGCCCATTATGTTTAGGCCAGAATGGGCATTCGGGGTGTCAGGTTTCATTACCCCGGCGGCCGCTGGGCCTCCGCGCCACCCGCCGGCCGCTGGGGGGGGGGGGGGGGAGGGGGGCATCATTTTACTGGGGGGCCCTTTACTTCTGCGATGAATAGATAGAGAAGAGAAACTTTGCACACATCTTCCTGAATACCTAGCCGAGGTTGTGTTCCAATTTGGTGTCAATCCCATGTGAAATGACTTGCCAAGTTTTGCCAAGTTTCACGTTGGTAGCTCATCAGGTTTCGGAGATATTCCACAAAACGTAAAGGGGGAGCAATTTTATGCCCCCCCCCCCCCCCCCGCCCAGCGGCTCGTGGGTTAACCGCTCATTTCTATACTTGTGATTAGAAACGTCCTAACATGTGAAATGATGTTTGGTCCCTTGTGGCTTACTTGGCCGGTGCCTTCAGGGCTGTTTAACTACAAATTTGCCGATCTGCTGAGCGCATGGAGCAGATCTAGCCAGGTTTATAACCACTAGGGGTGACATTGCGGCACAGTCAATCTTCAAGGTTTCCACGCCCCTAGAATATCCGCAGTTTAGCTGCCGGTTTCTGGTCACATGGCCTAAAGGTGAGGTCATTAGCGATACTGATAGAAATGGAAACACGTTGAACAGGCTAGCTGTGAGAAGGATTAAGGTTCATTTTAATTTCGTGTATTGTCGCATAAATACAGATACCGACCGTTTTCTAAGAGGGCCAATTTATCCCACTCTCTCTCTCGCTCTCTCTCTCTCTCTCTCTCTCTCTCTCTCTCTCTCGCTCTGTCTCTGTCTCTCTGTCTGTCTGTCTGTCTGTCTGTCTGTCTGTCTGTCTGCCTGTCTGTCTGTCTGTCTGTCTGTCTGTCTGTATGTCTTTCTGTCTGTCTGTCTGTCTGTCTGTCTGTCTGTCTGTCTGTCTGTCTGTCTGTCTGTCTGTCTGTCTGTCTGTCTGTCTGTCTGTCTGTCTGTCTGTCTGTCTGTCTGTCTGTCTGTCTCTCTGTCTGTCTGTCTGCCTGTCTCTCTCTCTCTCTC